AGCGAGACATCCAAGCCAACCACGTAGAATTTTGAAATAGTTCGGTTCGAGCATAAAATAAAAGCAAACCGATGCTTTGATTGGAGCATAAATAAAAGCAAACTAATGCTTTTGATTTGACATTCACATAAATCGATCTTGACCGATCAAGGAAGACAACCAAGCCAACCATGCAGAAGATTGAAACAGTTCGTCTAGTCAGTGTATTTAGTTTGCCATTATTAAACAAATTAGTGCAACCACGCACATAACATAATAACCTAGCATTAAAAAATATCCAAGATCCCAAAAAATAAAAAATTGTAGAATTTTTAAAAGCAAACCGAAGCTTTTGAGTTGACATTCACGTAAATCAATATTGACTGGTCAAGGGAGACTACCGAGCTGATCGTGCAAAATTTTGAAACGGTTCAGCTAGTCAATGTATTCGGTTTGCCATTATTAAACAAAATTAGTGCAATCATATATAGAACATAATAAGGTAGCGTTGAAAAATATCCAAAATCCCAAAAAATAAAACTTTGAACATAAAATAAAAGCAAACTGAAGCTTTTGAGTTAACATCCACGTAAATCGATCTTGCATGGTCAAGGGAGACAACCGAGCTGACCGTGCAGAATTTTGAAACCATTCGACTGGTCGGTGTATTCGGTTTGCCATTATTAAACAAAATTAGTGCAATCATATACAGAACATAATGAGCTAGTGTTGAAAAATATCTAAAATCCAAAAAAAATAGAAAATTAGAACACAAAATAAAGTTAAACCGAAGTTTTCAAAATTAATCAAATTAATCATCATCACTAGCAGCACTATTTTATACCCAAATCCGAAAATGCGAATAATCACATAATACCTAGCTAGGTTTTGGAACTCAATAGACGTCTAAGGCAATTTCATGGAGTTTCAAGTAGATGGGTTTCCACAAAACAACATGGTGCCAAATCCACTGGGACAAACAAATAGAGAGCAACCCATTACAAGAACGCCATACCTACATACACCGCACTGGTTGGGGATCGAACTGTACGATCTCTACAACGCCATCAAACGAATCAAAATCGACCGATGCGCAGAGAAGGATCTAAATCGAAGAAGCGGCTTCACCAGCAAGCAATCGGGACAATATGTCGGCGAGAGAAAGAATACGATTGAATGAATTAGGGTTTGGATTTTTTATGGAAGTGAGAGCAGAGAAGACTAGATGGGGGGCCCGGGGCCAGGGGCGGGTTTGGGTTCCTTGCCTTTTATATAGGCGTGTGTTTATGCGTGTATGTGTGCCAACTTTTGTTTCGTGCTGCTCAAAACAAAAGTGTTTAATTGTTATTTATTATTATTTTATAAGTTTGTGGGTAATTTATAATTTCAAAATTTAATTAAGTATTATTTTATTACATAATATATTTTTTGTTAACAAAATTTAAGTTTAGCATTGAAATTATTAGTTTTAAAATTTTCAAAAAGATAATTCTATTTACACAATTTTATAAAATTATCTTATTACACTTTTATTCCTTTTTTTAAATTATCAAAAAATTTCTTAAAATTCTAACCCTAATTCCTTTTCACACCCACCTTTTGCCGAGATAAATGGAAGTGGAAACGGATTTTGCCTTGTTCTAGTTTCTTACCATTAGCAAAAAATGACACTATTTCAATCTTTACTGCATTCAACTGAAAATGACATCATTCTACTACTATATTACAGCCTCTGTCCTTGCATGAAAGCATTTGAACCCTCAGATTAGTTTAGGGTTACATGTCAAGGTATGCTTCAAACTGTTGGATAGATGGCTGGAGGGATATGGTTGGAGAGGATCTTGATCTGATTACCTATTTGTCCTGCTATTAGATGATGGTGACTTTTTTGGCAATGTTTTCTAACGACAAGTAATTTTTTTCCCTAATATAATTTGTTTTCCAATCAAAGACGCACAACATGGTTTTGAAATCAAAAAATTACTATAAGTATCATATCACTTTCTTTTCTTTTTTTTTTTTATACTTTTTACACATTTTTTTTTATAAAAAGTTAAAAAATCAATAAAAATAGTCGATTCCCAAACAGGGTCACAATATTTATTTTTAAAAAACTAAGATTTTGATTAATTTTTTCTCTATATTCTTTTACACATTTTTTTTTTATAAAAAGTTAAAAAATCAATAAAAATAGTCGATTCCCAAACAAGGTCACAATATTTATTTTTAAAAAACTAAGATTTTGATTAATTGCTAACTATATACATGTTTAAATCATATTTGTCTTTGCAATTTTTTGTAATACAAATTTTATCCAAATGTAAGTTATTTATGTTTGATCAACTTAATTAATTTCAATAATGGTTTACTTGAAAAACAATAAAATTACAACCTTTTAAATAAATGAAGTGTGCCTAATTAATTCCAATCCCCAGTCACTTTTTCATCGGTGACCAATCAGCTTGTCACATTCGACCAACGCAACCATCTTGCTCCCTTCCCTGTATTTTTTTTAATTTTTTCTTCTTCTTTCTTGATCTCTCTCTTTCTTTCATGATGATAGAGAGGGTAGGATTGGTTCATAATGGGGATGGGATAGAGAAGTGCAACTTGAGAGAGGGTAGAGAGCATTGTTGGGACAGGGAGGCTTGCCAAAAATGGAAATGAGGGTCACCAACGATAGTTGCAGTGGTGGTGGTTATGAAATTTTGCAAAAAAAAGTATGAAAAACATACCATATACACCTTTTTTAATGTGTTTTTGCTCCTCTCTTTTTTGGTAACAAAACTTGAATTGCACACTAAGTGAATATTCAGGTGGTCTGACTTGGATTGCGACCCCACTAACCTAAATTAAGTATGTGAAAAGTTTTTTTTTTTTACACTGTTTATTCATAATTTGATGTTTGTAATACCATTCAATAATTTTATTTCAAATCATCAATGTAATTAATATTTTTAATAGAATATCGAATACGTGAAGGTACTTATTCATCTTTTAGAGATAAATATTTGAATACTATGAAACAAAACACAATTAATTATTTTAAAATATTTAATAAAACACAATTATTATTATTTTTTAAAAAAAAGTACTAATGCTTTTGAATACAATTCAATTAAACAAGTCATTTTTTTGTGTGTATTATGTTGAAAGTACTAATTTGGTTCGCAATTTGAAATAAAATGAATTAGGGTAAATTACACTTATCATTTTTGAGATTTGATAAAAATACAATTAATCTTATACTTTTAACATGAGTACATTGACTCTTTTTTAGTAAGACTAAAGTGATTGAAATTAATGCATTAAAAATAAATAAAGATAAATATATTTTATAATTGACAAAAGATGACAAAATTATATTTTCACTCATACAACTAATAAAAAAAATCAGTAAAAATAAAAATAAAAAAAATTAATTTTTTAAAAAGTGAATCCTAAAGATCCAAACCAAACAAGCAAATGGTATTATACTAAATGTGTGAATGTGACTAACTGTATTTTCTTTTAGGGCTGGGCTTCCCTTTGATCCGTGTTCGGACTGAAGGATACTGTTGAGCCCATGGGGCTCACCACGAGTTCTGTTTTGATAATCTAAACCGTTCAATATGTATAACTCGTCAAGTACTATATGTCTGTAAAAAACCACTTTGATCGATATCGATAGCTATCTTATCGGATCAGATTTCTTTCAATCGTTATCTTTTCACAATATTTTTTTTTATACAAAACTGATTTGATCACGTAACAATTGATATCCGATCATCGTGATTGTTTGTAGGCATATAGTACTCGATGAGTTCTACACATTTAACAGCTCAAATTATCCACACAGGACCTGTAATACGTCCCCACAGGTAGGACCGACTAGGAGATTTAGGGGGTCCAAGGCAAATTTCAGAAATGGGACCCTTTTTCATTGAAGAAAAAAAAAATCATAGATAAAACTAGGGATTTTTGGTGAAACTCCCCGCTTGGGCATTTTTATTAGAGTAAAGGATAACCTAATCAATTTTCTTTCAAAAAGCCCTTGAGTAGGAAATGCCTACCTTAATAAGGACATTTTATAACTTCTATTTTTTTTATGACAATATTGCCCTTCTATATATATGTATCATATATTTGAAATCTGAGCTGTATACGATCTGCTACAATTTGCGAAATCTGAGCTGTATACGATCTGCTACAATTTGTTAATATCAATGCATGTTAAGAATGTGAGGTTTTATGTATTTTTTTGAGGGCGTTACAAGCAACCCCTTTCTTTTAAGTCTAACCATCAACAGAATTGAATGGAATTTCCCTAATTGCTAATAATAAAAAATAAATAAATAAAACAATAATAATAATAATAATAAAACTTTGAAGCCCTGAAACATGACAGTTGAGGGAGTAAATTGACATAAGCTTCTTGATTTGAGAGGTCGAAGTGAATTTCCCAAAAATAAAGACAAGTGAATTTCTAGCAGTCTTAATGATCCGAAAATCAGTCTGCAAATTGTCTCTTTGCTGTCCAGATTTTATTGAGTGCATTTTTCTTCATTCTAGTTTTAGGAAAAATCAAAGAGAGTATAGAACACAAGGTTTGGTTCGCCGTACAAATTTGTTTGGTGTGCTACACCAATTTTGTGAAGATCATTGTATCCTGGGAGATAGACGCCACTCAACCGTAAGCACTGTAGCGGGGCGAATCTGTCTTAAGGACAGAGTGTCACACACTCGACTTGGTTTTTGAATTATTTATTCGGTTCTACAAAATAAATACTGTATGTTTTATTTTATTTTGTTTGAGTTGTTTCAATTTATTTTATTTACACAGAAGATTATTCCAACATTTCTCTCTATGTGGAGCATATGAGCCTAGAATTTGTATTGTAAACAGACATAGATAGGGTACATACTGAATGGTGCATTGTTTAATTTTTTTTATTAATATTATTATAAATTATTACTGTATATTTTGTTCTGTTAATTACTGTATTAAATAATTTATCATTTCACTTTACAATTAATTACAGGGTTATATAGTTCTCAACAGACCTTGGGCATTTGTACAATGGCTTCAACAAGCGAACATCAAAGAAGAGTACGGGAAAACTTAACTATGTCGCTTTGACACAACAACATTTCTTGATCAATTTTTTTTTTTTGCATTTCAATGAGTAGATCTAGTAAAACAGATTCGTAATTTTATGCAGCTACATATTGATGGCCGAGCCAGATCATATTATTGTTAAGCCCATACCAAACTTATCAAGGGATGGCCGTGGAGCCGCATTCCCTTTCTTTTACATTGAACCTCAAAAGTATGAATCTGTTCTCCGAAAATTCTTTCCGAAGGAAAAGGGACCAATAAGTAACATTGATCCAATAGGAAATTCTCCTGTCATCATTGGAAAGGTACATACATCTTCTATGAGGCTTCCTAAAGAACCTTTAACTAATATTTTTGTTTGTTTCTTATTTTTTATTGAATTGTGTTAGGAATCTCTTAAAAAGATAGCTCCAACTTGGATGAATGTTTCATTGGCAATGAAAAGGGACTCTGTAGCAAATAAAGAGTTTGGTTGGGTCCTCAAGATGTGAGTTTTCTCTCGTAAGCCTAATATTTGGTTGCTCCAATTGTTAGTTTTTATCCATCATCAATATGCAGGTATGCTTATGCAGTTGCATCTGCTCTGCATAATGTGGGTAACATCTTGTACAAGGACTTCATGATTCAGGTTAGATAATATGCATTTACATAGTTATTTATTTTTTTGGGTCTTGAGTTTTGCTAAATTCAGTAGTAAGTTTATTGCTTTCCAAATCTTTAACACATAGTTTGAATGGGTTACAAGTTAGATTAAAAGCCTATTGCCAAAGTGACTTTTGATTTTGTCAAAGCAAGGTAGAATTGCATAAAGCTAAGTAATTATACCCTCCTTTGGAAAAAAAGCCTATATTGGTTTGAGAATAGAGCTGGTTGGTAGTTATCTCATTGTGGCAATCTGATGATATATTAGTAGTATACATTCACCAAAGTACCAGTATACTAAGAAGAAAAATATTTCGATTGAAATCTTTGGATTTTTTTATTTTTTTTAATATTTCTAGATGGCTATATTGTTTATATTTATTTTAATTTCTTTTCAAAATGAAAATTCTGAAGATTTCTTGCTTGTGGTTGCATGATGTTAATTACATTGAGGCTTTCCATCATCATATTGACCAGCTTGATAGCTTTTGGTTGATCTAGTTTTTGCATGTGTGCAAAACTCTTCTACTATTTTACTCACAATTGCCTGTTTGTGATGCATTCTAGCCTCCTTGGGATACAGAGATTGGCAACAAGTTCATCGTTCATTTTACTTATGGATGCGATTATGATATGAAGGTATTCTAATTATGTCCGAGTCCTCAAAGTGATGAAAGTCAAACTTTGAAAATTGTATTTTGATGAAAATAAAAAAAAATTTGACCATGCAATTTTCAAATTTCGATACGCAAGGTAAGTTAACCTATGGAAAGATTGGAGAATGGAGATTTGACAAAAGATCCTATACTACTGCCTGGCCTCCAAAAAACCTTCCACTGTCCCCACCTGGTGTCCCTGAAAGTGTGGTATGTTTCCATCACATTTGAATCCTACTAGCATTTTGCTTCATTATCTGTTAACTAATAGAATCGCTAACCTTTAATTCCAAGTACATTATCTTTTTTCTTATTTAATATAGTTGAGAAGTTTGACAAAGAAAAAACAGAAAAGACATGACATGACATAGCAGAGGCACAACAACAAATAAATATATATTTTTTTATGTATACATGAAAATGATAATTGTTTCTAAATTTTTTTACAATACAAATACATTTACAATTTATTATATCAAAATAGTAGGAAATCAATTCATTGTACATATTAGGAAAAAAATGTGAACAAAAAGTCATAATATCTATTTTAGAAAAATCTATTCATAAACAAATTGAAAGTTTCAGACTTTTAGGATTCCTAAAATTAAAAAGTCTAGAGGAGGAGAAAACAAAATATAAATCCAAATTCTTTTTATTTTATCAATGGATCCCAAATTCTTTTCTTAAAACTTGCAATGTGGTTCATGAGTGTTTAAGCAACTACCATCTTTCATTCATATTTGATTGAACTATTGGCAAATTTTGATATTGCAGGTTACTTTGGTGAAAATGGTGAATGAAGCCACAACTAACATTCCTAACTGGGGATCTTAAAGGATAGACATCAAGTAGAAACTGGCTATAGACAGAGTCTTGTGTTGAGAGGATGGTGAATTTATTCTTCTCTGGAGGCACTGTGCTTAAAAATATTTACTGTGAATGTGCTTTGGGATTTGCATTGAAAGCATGACACTTGCTCGATGAGCTTTTTTTTTTTTTTTTTTTTGGTTTTTTCCAGCTCCTATACACTACCTACACAATTGTAGTATATAATGTTCTGTAACCCACTCTTTTCAGATAACTGACTGTTGATTTCCTTATATCATAAAAATCTCCCTTTGTTTTCATCCAAAGCATATCAGTTTGTGTTTCTTTGACTGTCTATTCAGGCTTTGTATTCATTTGTTTCCTCAGTGGCTTTTATTTCTCACTAGCTGAGATTTAATGTGAATCAGATACCAAAAAATCATTTTACCATCAAAATTTCAGAATCTGGATTTATTTTATTTTATTTTATTTTATTTTTTGGGTGGAACTAATGACTACATATAAGCCAATGAATTTCAGATAGAAGAACTATCACGTTAAATCAAACATCTCAACTAAGTAATAGATATAAGTGATCAAAAAACTGATCATAACGTGCAAATGCTGATCATAAAATGTAAAATACAAGGATTACAACATAGCATTAAAGCTAGTTTTAATAAAAATTCAAGCTAAACTCAATTAGTCAATTTCAGTGGGTGTAAGAATACCAGTAGCGAGACCTCCTGATGGTGGCAAAATATTTTGTAATTGCTTGATCATCACATCAAGCGTTCTTGACTTTTCCATATCTCTAGCCTGCAGCAGAAACCTTATAGCGACCCCGGTCTTTTCCCATTTGATTATTGTATCCGGACTTAGGTTCCGTAGATTCCGTCATTGTATAATTGTTGTTGTCATTCATTATTTTCTTATTTTGAGTCTTGGGTTGTGTTGGGAAGATTTGGAGCAGGTTGGTTGAGCTTAGGAACCAAGTCTAGTTGCCCAGATTTTTGGCTTATCCGCTCGAGCAGAGTTTTGGACGCTCGAGCGGGGAATACACCCATCCAGTATCTCCTGTGTAGTGTTGGCTGCTCGAGCGGGGGATTGGACGCTCGAGCGGGAAGTCGTGAGTGACGCTCGAGCGGGGAGTTTGGCGCTCGAGCGGGGACCTGTCTGCAAAGAAACTTCTGGGAGTGTGCATCCGCCGCTCGAGCGGGAGTTTGGCCGCTCGAGCGGGAGTCTGTGAGTGGCGCTCGGGCGGGGGTTTACACGCTCGAGCGGAACGACTGGTATATAAATCCGAGATCCGACTTTCTGGATCATTTTTCATCCCCCTTTTGATCTGAAAAACCTTAGAACCGACTTTTCTCTTTCTCTACTCACCTTCTCTCTTAGGTTTGATCTACTTAGAGTGAGTTTCTACCTTAGATCCTTTATTAAAAAGATAGAGTGAGTCGAGGGCTTCCATCTAATCTGAACTTTTGGTGATTTGGAGCACATCGGAATTTGGGTATTCATCTTTGTCTTCTCCATTCGGGTTATTTTCTTCGAGGTAGGGATTTCCTACTCCATTTTATAAGTTTTGTTCTAAGTTTTGGTATTTTGATAAGTTGGGGCTACTTTGATAATTTTGGGAAAACCCCTAGTTGTTTAAATTAATTAATTTGTATAATTAATTTAAGGGAATTGGGGAATTTGGTTTCCAACACTGCACAGGAAATACTGGATGGGTGAAACCCCCGCTCGAGTGCCAAAACCCCCGCTCGAGCGTACAAGCAACAAAAGAATCCCCGCTCGAGCGTCAAACTCCCGCTCGAGCGGACAGGTCAAAATCTGGGCAACTAGTTTTGGCATCTAAACTCAACCGACTTGTAACAGACCCGCCCAACACATCCTATAACTCAAATACAAAGAGATTAAAGGACGACAACAACCAATATATACTGATCGGATCCACGGAACCTAAGTCCGGATACAATAATCTAAAGGAAAAAGACCGGGGTCGCTATATGGATTTATTTATTTTATTTTATTTTATTTTTTGGATGGAACTAATGACTACATATAAGCCGATGTATTTCAAATAGAAGAACTGTCACGTTAAATCAAACATCTCAACTAAGTAATAGATATAAGTGATCAAAAAACTGATCATAACGTGCAAATGCTGATCATAAAATGTAAAATGCAAGGATTACAACATAGCAATAAAGCTAGTTTTAATAAAAATTCAAGCTAAACTCAATTAGTCCATTTCAGTGGGTGTAAGAATACCAGTAGCGAGACCTCTTGATGGCGGCAAAATATTTTGTAATCGCTTGATCATCACATCAAGCGTCCTTGACTTTTCCATATCTCCAGCCTGCAGTAGAAACCTCTCCAACATCTGAAACACTGCCTCACTCACATGCCTTTCTCTCTCCAACATTTGTTTGGAGCACTCAAAAGCTTCTTGCACCTTCCCATGCGAGTACAATGATGTTGCCAATAGATCCAATGCATGGCCATGGGGGCAGTGACCTCTCTCTAACATGTAGCCCGTCTCATCTGTTTGTTGACATTGGAAGAATGTGAATATAATATATATAGTTCACTGTTGTAAGTTTGGCCAGGTTCTGAGCCATATTGATTAAGTTGGAAAGTAAAACGTGTCTTAGACAATATTGTCATGAAACTGTAAAATGATGTAATTGATTATCTTGGTTAACCATCTATTGAATGCTATAGCTTTATTCAATGCTCATATTTGGTTTAGTACTTTTCTACTGGGCTGTGGCTCACCCTTTATGGGAACATCATTTTCAGGTTCAGGTGATAAGCTACCTCCACGGACTTAGCCTGGAAGGATTTGATGTCTGGGATTTTGAAGACTTGTCTTTAGTTATATGTTTTATTTTGTTATTTTTGAGATTTCATGTAAACATTCAAGCCTAGGGCTTAACTTGTAAAAGAGTTAGTACTCATCCTTCTTGTGTCCAAGTGTTAGGTTGGAAAGATGTAAGCCTTTAGGGCATTTATTTTGATGTTGCAGGATGTTACATGTGATATCTTTCAATAAGAATACTCTGATGAATAACTCAAATGATTCGTTTTCTTTTATAAATGCATGTTAATGTTATGGTTATTATGGGTTTATTTTGAGGGCGTTACAAACCTCTCCAACATCTGAAACACTGCCTCACTCACGTGCCTTCCTCTCTCCAACATTTGTTTGGAGCACTCAAAAGCTTTTTGCACCTTCCCATGCGAGCACAATGATGTTGCCAATAGATCCAATGCATGGCCATGGGGGCAGTGACCTCTCTCTAATAGGTAGCCCTACAAGTTCAATCCCAAATCAGGCTGACGATTTGCACAAAAGAATTTCATCAACATCACCACTGTTCGTGTCTTGGGAACAAAGTTTTTCTTCGGAGTCCAAATTTTTTGACTTCATTAAGTCAAAGAACATAGTATGGTATGTGATATTGTCATGCCCAATGCCTTTCTCTTCCATCTCATCCATTAAGCTGGTTGCAGACTCCACGGCCCAGCATCTTTCAAGAGAACTCAATAAAGCATTATAAGCACTAGTATCAGGCCTTAAGTTTCTCATGGGAATCTCTTCAAACAACTCTATTGCTTTAGCTATGTTTCGAGCAGCCCCTGCGCCATGAATCAATGTTGTTATTGTTTCTATTGTAGGCAAGCAATTTAGACCTTCCATTTCTGTAAGAAGTCTCAAACCATCACCGAAACATCCTTTTTTGCAGTAAGCATCAATTCTAATATTGTAAGTCACATTATTCGGCTTAAAGCCTCTTCGAACCATCTCATGGTAGAACAGTTCTACAGCGGTAACATCACCTGATTCCTTAAAACGCAACAGCAATATATTCATGGTCTTGGTGTTGGGAGAAAATCGAGGATGCATCTTGTTGAACACAGACCTTGCCTCCTTTATCTGCCTTTGAGTACAAAACACTCTAAGTAGTACATTGAACTCATCGGTGCCAAATTTCCTCCATACAAATATATTTTTCGCCATCCTCTCAAATGCTTCAAGGGTATCTTCGTAGGTCTGGAACTTAGCAATTCTCGATAACAAGATGCTCATGGATTTTAGGGTTAGCAAGGAAGGGTGTGTTTGTTGAATTTCTTCCATCAATTCCCAAGCTTTATCAAAGTAGCACATTCGTGCAAGTATATGGAGTGTCTTCTCAAAAGCATCTGAACTTGGCCGGAAGTGGGAGTGTTGAAGGGAGAATTTGAAGAATTCAAAGGCTTTAAGGCCATTGGAGTGTGCTACAAAGAGACGACTGAGCACATTTTTCACAAGCGGAGTTGAAAGCACAGATGGCGGGATATGTTGCAAAAGAGTGGGGTGAGGCGGGTGATCAAGGAAAGGGTGGTCGTTAACAATTTTGATGATTCTCTCGATTTCAATTTCTTTTGGCTGGCAGGTTGATTCAAAAGCAAAGGTACGAAATAATGCTAGTTTTTTAGGACCTAGTTTATTGTATCTATTCAGTTTGACTTTCTTCAAAACAAGACACAACACTCAACTTCCATCTATGGATGCAAAGCTTTACTGATCTCAATACCCTGTTAATCAAACATATACATTGGTTAGAATTGACTAGCAATTGTTATACATGAAGCAGATGTGGTATGCAACTAGATAGAGAGAAACTGGTATAAGAGATATGCTTGAGTGAATATAGGATGTGAAACACATCTAGATTATCAATAAAATATCAATGCATTTTCTGTGAACCATTCTGTGATCAATTATGTGCTCATAGCATTGTTTTTCAAAACAAGAGCAACCAAGTTTGCAACAAATAAGAAACCTATATCTATCAAACATTTTCACAAACATTTTCAATGCATATCCAAATGCTACCATAAACACATCTAAAACATACAAATATATGCCTAATGCAATTACAACAAAAAAACACAAACAAACAAACCCAAAAAAATAAAAATAAAAAGTGATAATCTAGAAACTCAAACCGAAACATCAAATCAAATTATGAAAAATCCCAAATCATAAAAATTTGGCAATCAAATTAAGCTATAAAACAGCTTACCCTTTGGCCCTAATGCACCATA